GATGGTAGTGGCTAGTTTTATTGGTACCTCATACCTTTGTGGATGTAGGGGCTAGTTTATTTTTGTACCTCATATCCTTTCCTGTGGATGGTAGGGGTAGTTTTATTGTGTACCTCATATCCATTGTGGTGGTAGTGGCTAGTTTATTGTGTACCTCATATCCTTTGTGATGGTAGTGGCAAGTTTATTGTGTACCTCATATCCATCTGTGGATGGTAGTGGCTAGTTTATTGTTACCTCATATCCATTGTGGTGGTAGTGGCTAGTTTATTGTGTACTTCATATCCTTTCTGTGGATGGTAGTGGCTATTTTTATTGTGACCTCATATCCTTTCCCTGGGATGGTAGTGGCTAGTTTATTGTGTACCTCATATCCATTCTGTGGATGGTAGGGGCTAGTTTATTGTGTCCTCATATCCATCCTGTGGATGGTAGTGGCTAGTTTTTGTGTACCTCATATCCATCCGTGGAGGGTAGTGCTAGTTTATTGTGTACCTCATATCCATCTGTGGATGGTATTTGCTAGTTTTATTGTGTACCTCATAATCCATTGTGGATGGTATTTGCTAGTTTATTGGTACCTCATTCCATCCTGTGGATGGTAGTGCTAGTTTATTGTGTACCTCATATCCATCCTGTGGATGGTAGTGGCTAGTTTATTGTGTACCTCATATCCATCCTGTGGATGGTAGTGCTAGTTATTGTGTCCCTCATATCCATCTGTGGATGGTAGGCTAGTTTATTGTGAAACCTCATATCCTTTCCTGTGGATGGTAGTGGCTAGTTTATTGTGTACCTCATATCCATTCTGTGGATGGTAGGGGCTAGTTTATTGTTGTACCTCATACCTTTCCTGTGGATGGTAGGGGCTAGTTTATTGTGTCCCTCATATCCTTTCCTGTGGATGGTAGTGCTAGTTTATTGTGTACCTCTATCCTTTCCTGTGGATGGTAGGGGCTAGTTTATTGTGTACCTCATATCCTTTCCTGTGGATGGTAGTGCTAGTTTATTGTGTACCTCATTCCATTTGTGGATGGTAGTGGCTAGTTTATTGTGTACCTCATATCCTTTCCCTGTGGATGGTAGTGGCTAGTTTATTGTGTACCTCATATCCATCCTGTGGAGGTAGTGCTAGTTTATTGTGTACCTCATATCCACCTGTGGATGGTAGTGCTAGTTTATTGTGTCCCTCATATCCACCCTGTGGATGGTAGGGGCTAGTTATTGTGTACCTCATATCCATCCGTGGAGGGTTTAGGGGCTAGTTTATTGTGTACCTAAATATCCATTCTGTGGATGGTAGTGGCTAGTTTTTGTGTACCTCATATCCATCCGTGGAGGGTAGCACAAAACATATGGATTCACAATGGCCTAGGAACGGGCCCCAAAAGGGTTAACGGGAAAAAACATCTGGTTAATAACTAAATTTCACTATCTGTACAAAAAAATTTTTGGGAAATTTTGCTTAAAAATTTTATCTTTTTTCTTTAAATAAGATACTTGACATGTCACATAGGTTAAATAAAAATAATAATAAAAAATAATAAAAAAAAATAATAATAATAATAAAAATAATAATAATAAAATAATAATAATAAAATAATAATAATATCAAATTATTTTATTATTATTTTTATTATTATTATAATTTTATTTTTTATTATTTTTTATTATTATTTATTTTTATTATTATTATTTTTATTATACTGTATTCTGGTATATTTCCCATTTTAAAATTTTTGGGGGTAAAATTGGTCCAGTAGCCCGGGTCGGGTTTGGTACTCCGGGGTCTGCTCCATACTCCGAGTGCGGCCCATAGCTCCGAGATCGGCCAGTACTCCGAGATCGGGTCCAGTAGCTCCGAGATCGGGTCCATTTGCTCCGAGATCTGGCCCCAACCCGAGTTTGGTCCTAGCCCGAGATCTGGTCCATACTCCGAGAGCGGGTTGTTCAGGGGCATCAGGGAACACTGCCAGACCACGAACCCCACAACACGTACCTTCCTTTGCGTTGGAGAACAACTGTGAAATCTGACGTAAAGGAAAGTATGGGACTGACCCCCCAATCATTTTACATAGACCGGGGTGGTTCCTTCTTCCCTCACGACCTCGTTTTTCAGTATTTCTAAAACAGTCAACTGTTTACTTCTTTTTTTCTTTGTAAAGTAAGTAAAACCTTCCTCCAGATTCTGGTCTTTGTTTTTTTTTTCTTGAGACTTGATTAACCAGTTTTTTTTCTGACAAGCTTGCTTGTATATATAAATTTTATAATATATAAAAATATATATATATAATAAATTTATAATATATATATAAAAATTTTTAATATAATATATTTTTTTTTTTTTTTTTTTTTTTTTTTTCAAAAAGTGGGCAGTCTCCCCCGAGGCGGGGTGACCCAAAAAAAAAAAAAAAAAATCCCCAAAAAGAAAATATTTTCATCACATTCAACATTTTCACCACACTCGCACATATAAACTTTTTTGCAGAGGTGCTCAGAATAAAACAGCCAGAACATACATTTTATAAAGATACACAACATATCCTCCAAACTGCCAATATCCCCAAAATCCTCCTTTAAAGTGCAGGGATTGTACTTCCCATTTCCAGGGGCCCAAGTCCGACTATATGAAAATAAGGGTTTTCTGAATCCCTTCACTAAATATTACCCGCTCACACTCCAACAATCGTCAGGTCCCACTACCATTCGCTCCTTTCACTCCTACTAACACGCCACGCACCTTGCGGGAAGTCCAACCCCCCCTTTCCCACGAAACCCCCTTTTACCCCCCTCCCAACCCTTCAGGACGCCCCCTACCCCCCCTTCCCTTCCCCTATGATTTATATACTTTCCATGTCATCTACTTTGATCCTTCTCTCTAAATACCAAACCACCTCAAAAACCCCCTTTCTGCCCTCTGACAATACTTTTATTAACCCACACCTTTCCCCAAATTTTCCCACCTCCGTTTTTTTCCTGCATAATATTTACACCACACATTCCCCTTTAAACAGACATCCCACTGCCTCCAACCGCCCTCCTCGCAGCTGCATTTACCACCCAAGCTTCACACCCAAAAAGTTTTGGGTCTACAATTTCATACTTTCCCCTTTTCTTTGCCTCCATAATAATTTTTTTTTTGATTCCACATATACCCAACGCACCACTCACCTTTTTTCCCTCATCAATTCTTGTTTAAACCTCACCCTTCATAAATCCATCCCCGACACGTCAACCCCCCAATTTTCTAAAAAACATTCACTTTTTCCTACTCCTCCCCCCAATTGTACCAAATTTTTTCTTTATCTAAATCATTTTGATACCCTCATCACCTTACCTTTTTTTATGTTCATTTTCAACTTCTCCCTTTTACAAAAATTTCCCAAAACTCACCCACAAACCCTTTTGGGGCATTTTTTTTAAATCCCCAAAGCACAGTATCATCAGAAAAAAGTAACGGTCAATTCCCTTTTAATTTTTTCCCCAAATTTAATCCCCCCCTCCCCCGAACACCCTAGCTTTTATTTTCCTTTACAACCCCACTATAAATATATTAAAAAACCATTACATTACCATCCCTGTGTAAGACCTACTTTACCGGGAAGTATTTTTCCCTCTCTTTAAAACACCCTAACCGAGCCTCACTATCCCCTAAACTCTTTAAAAGCATTTAGTAACTTACCCCCTATTCCATAACTTGCAACATCTGCCACATTTCTCCTCTATCCACTCTATCACAAGCCTTTCTAAATCCATAAATGAATAAAAACTTCCCTACCTTTATCTAAAACTGTTCACATATATGCTTTAATGTAAACACTTGATCTACACATCCCCTACCCACTCTGAATATATATATATATATAAAAATATATAATTAAATAATATATATATATAATATATATATATTTAATATATAAATATATATTAATATAAAAATATATATATATATATAATAATATATATTATATTATATTGCATTTAAGGGGGGGTTTGGGGTATTGGCAGTTTGGAGGGTATGTTTTGGTTTTTCTTTTTTACGTATATGCTTCTAAACTGTTGTATTTTGAGCACCTCTGCAAAAGCGTGAAATGGTGAGTTGTGAAAGTGTTGAATGATGATGAAAGCCTTTTTTTTTTTGGGGATTTCTTTCTTTTTTGGGCACCCTGCCCCGTGGGGGACTGCCGACTTTTTTGAAAATTATATATATATATTATATAATAAAAATATATATATTAAAATATATAATATTAATATATTATATATATATATAAAAAAAATATATATATATATATATATAATAAAATTATATATATATATATTAAAAATCAGCAAAAAAGGGGGATTTTCAGTTGTTTGAGCGCTTCCGCCCAACATTAAACTTGAATCTTCCTGACTGGATTTTCACTTAAAAAAAAATAGAAGTTGAAACGCAAAAAATAATAATGGAGGGAGTAAAACAGGGGAGATAAAAAGATTTCACATTACCCATTATATTGTTTCGGGGGGGGGCGGAGGGGCGGGGGAGGGGTTCCAATTTATATCTTTGGGTAAATATGGTCCAGTACTCCGAGGGGTGGTCCCGAGTAGCTCCGAACGTCTGTCCAGTTGCTCCGAGGGCTGGTCCAGTACTCCGAGGGCTGGGTCCAGTAGCTCCGAGGGCTCGGTCAGTAGCCCGAGGGCTGGTCCAGATAGCTCCGAGGTCCTGCTCCAGTAAGCTCCGAGGGCTGGGTCCAGTAGGCTCCCGAGGGCTGGTCCACTACCCGAGGGCTGGTCCAACCTAGCTCCGAGGGCTTGGTCCACTACTCCGAGGGCTTGGCCCAGTAAAGCTCCGAGATCGGGTCCAGTAGCCTCCGAGATCTGGTCCAGTAACACCGAGATCGGTCCAGTAGCTCCGAGATCTGGTCCAGTAGCTCCGAGGGTTCTGGTCCAGAGCTCTAAGGCCTGGTCAAGTAGCTCCGAGGTCTGATTCAGTAGATCCGAGGGCTGGTCTAGTAGCTCTAAGGCCTGGTCCAGTAGCTCCGGGATCTGGTCCAGTAGCTTCCGAGATCAGTCCAGTCGCTCGAGATCTGGTCCAGTAGCTCCGAGATCCTGGTCAGTAGCTCCGAGATCTGGTCCAGTAGCTCCGAGATCTGGTCCAGTAGCTCCGAGATCTGGTCCAGTAGCTCAGGGGCCTGGTCCAGTAGCTCCGAGATCTGGTCCAGTAGCTCCGAGATCTGGTCCAGTAGCTCCGAGATCTGGTCCAGTAGCTCCGAGATCTGGTCCAGTAGCTCCGGGGCTGGTCCAGTAGCTTCCGAGATCTGGTCCAATAGCTCCGAGATTCTGGTTCCAGTAGCTCCGAATTCTGGTCCAGTAGCCTCTCCGAGATCTGGTCCCAGTAGTCCTCCGAGACTTGTCCGAGTAGCTCCGAGAAGCTGGTCAAGTAGCTCCGAGATCTGGTCCAGTAGCTCCGAGATCTGGTCCAGTAGCTCCGAGATCTGGTCCAGTAGCTCCGAGATCTGGTCCAGTAGCTCCGAGATCTGGTCCCCAGTAGCTCCGGGGGCTGGTCGTTTCAGTGGCATCAGGAACACTGCCAGACTCACGAACTCCACAAAGGGGGGCATCGGTACTCTTCCTTCGGCTGTTGGAGAGACAACTAATGTATCCTGTACGTAACAGTTATATGTATGGGACTGATACCTCCAATCATATTAGCATAAGACCAGGTGTGTCCCTTTCTTACCTCACCGACCTCGTTGTTTTCAGTATTTTTCTATATTAACTGTCAGCTGTTACTTCCATTTTTCTTTGTTAAAGCAAGTCCACACCACCCATCCAACTTCTGTCATTGTTTCTTTCTTGAGACTTGATTACCATGTATTTTTCTGACAAGCTTGCTTTAGATATATTAATTATATATATATATAATATATATATATATATATATACTTATACATTATTATATATATATAATATATATTCTATATATATCTTACTATATATACTATATAAATATATAAATATATTTTAATATATATCTCATCTAAATGAGTACTATTACCTATATATATATACTCCCACACACTTTTTTTTTCCTTTCTTCTTTTCACAACAAGTCGGCCGTCTCCCACCGAGCAGGGTGACCCAAAAAAAAAAAAAAGAAAGAAAATCCCCAAAAAGAAAAATACTTTCACATCATTCAACACTTTCACCACACTCACAACATTATCACGCTTTTGCAGAGGTTATATAAAAATAACCGGTTTCCCTGAATCCCTACACAAAATATTACCCTGCTAACACTCCAAACAGATCGTCAGGTCCCAAGTACCATTCGTCACCATTCACTCATACTATACATCTCCTCACGCACGCTTGCTGAAGTCCAAGCCCCTTACTGGAGGATACCTGGAGGTTATTCCGGGGGATCAACAACGCCCCCGCGGCCCCCGGCCCCCGCGGCCGGTCCCACTACCAGCCACTCCCGATGGATCAGGCCTGATCAACCAGGCTTGTTACTGGCTTGGCCGCACGCAGATCGACGTACGAGCCATCAGCCCCGGCTGATCCGGCACCGACATTAGGTATGTACCCCCAGGCTCTCTCTTGAAGGCAGCCAGGGGTTTATTGGCAATTCCCGTAATGCTTGAGATGGGAGGCTGTTGAACAGTTAGGGCCCCGACACTATGGTTTTTCTCTTAGTGTACCAATGGCGCCCCTACTTTTTATTGGCGGAATTTTGCATCGCCTGCCCAGTCTTTACTTTCGTAGGGAGTGATTTCCTGTGTGCAGATATGGACCATTCCTTCCAAGATTTTCCCAAGTGGTATATTATGATTATCTCTCCCTCCTGCGTTCCAACGAGTACAAGTCAAGTGCTTTCAGTCGTTCCCAGAGTTAAGGTGCTTGACAGAACTTATACGAGCCATAAAGGATCATCCTGACAACTCTCTAAGATCTGCGATTCACCTGTCTTTGTATGAGATTTAATGTACAGCAGTATTCCACCTAGAGAGAACAAGTTGATTTGGAAAAGCGATCATCATGGGCTTCTGGCATCTCTCGTTTTGAAAGTTCTCATATACCATCCTATCATTTCCCTTTGCACGTGCGATCGTGGCCAACTGTTGTGATCCTTGAAAGTGAGATCCTCAGACATTACTACTCCCAGGTCCCTTACATATTTTTCCGCTCAAATTGTAATGGCCCGGAGTCAGTTAGTATACTCTGTTCTAGTTATTATCATTCCTCCAGTTTTCCATAACGGAGTAGTTTGGAATTGTCCTCATTGAACATCAATTGTTTACCGTTGCCCACTGGAAAACTTAGTTTATATCTTCTTGGAGGTTAACCGCTTCTCAGCAGATGACCGCCTCATGCAGATCAAGTAATCATCCGCAGAGGATGATACGGTGCTGTGGTGGTATATCTCTGTTATGTCATTTGAAGATAAGGAATAAAGATGGGCGAGTACTGGCCTTGTGGAACAGAGCTCTTCACTATGGCAGCCTCCGATTTATCTCCGTGACCACTACTCTTTGTTCGATTTGTAGGAAGTTGAAGATCCAATCTCTCCCACTTTCCCAGTTATTCCTTTAGCACGTATTTTATGGGCATTAACACCATGACAGCGTTTTGTCAAATGCTTTTGCAAAGTCTGTGTATATTACTTCTGGCATTCTGATTTTCTTTACAGTGCATCCAAGGCCTGTCAAGTGATTCCAGTAGTTGTGTAGAGGCAGGAGCGACCTGCCCTGACCCATTTGCCCTGGATTGTTGCAGATTTTGGGAATCCAGGGTGGTTTTGCAATCACTGCTTCTTAGCACTCATTCAAAAGATTTTATGATGTGGGACGTCAGAGCTATTGGTCATAGTTCTTAGCTAATGCTTTGCCGCCACCTTTATGGAGCGGGGCTATAATCCGTTGTTTAAGTGACAGTGGAATCTCACCCATGTCCAAGCTCCTCCTCCATAGTGTACTTTTAGGGCACGCGATAGGGGTTTCTTGCAGTTCTTTAATGAAAACCAGAGTTTCCACGAGTCTGGGCCGGGGCTGAGTGCATAGGCATGATTGTCATTGGCTTTTTTATCGAATCTATCGGAGGTTAGGGTAATGTCGGAAATCTGGGCATACATTATGGAGTTTTTGAGGCTCATTCATGAAGAAATCATTTGGTCGTCGATCCTCATACCGATTAGTGGTTCACTAAACACAGATTCGTACTGGAATTTCAATATTTCACTTCATTTTCTTGTTGTCATCTGTGTAAGTCCATCCTGTCCTGAGTAAGGGCCCCGATACTAGATGTGGTTTTGCCTTGTATTTGGCATAAAAAAGAAATATTTTGAATTTCTTTCAATTTCACTAATAGCTTTATAGCTCCTCCTGCCTCTCCTGGTTCCTGTAAGAGTCATTTAACTTAAGTTTCGATAGTTTCCAATTCCCTGGCAGCGCCTCCTTTCGTGTATCAGGATATTCTAGCAATCCTGAAGGAGCTAGCAGTGACTCTTCGTCGTCTTCTGTAGAGGGAGCGTCTTTTTCTCTCCAGTTTACTCCTGCTCTTCTTCTTTTCTTAGTGGAATAGCCTAGAACATGCTCGGCTACCAGGAATTGATCCTTTCAAGGCACTGGTTTGGGTCCATGTCATTTAAGACATCTTCCCAACATGTTTCGTTTAGGACATGGTTTACCTGGTCCCAGTTGATGTTCTTGTTGTTGAAATTGTATTTTGTGAAGACACCTTCACCGGTACATGCATTCTGCTGTTCAGACCCCTATGCATGTACTCTGGACTTCGATTAGATTGTGATTGGAATTAGTTGTTTTTGATATTCTTATGTCTCTTATCAGGTCCTCATTATTTGTGAAGATAAGGTCAAGTGTGTTTTCTAGTCTTGTTGGCTCCACTATCTGCTGCTTAAGGAGTGTTTTTCGCAGAGACTTAGTAGCTCATGTGTGTGAGACCTTTCATCTGCGCTACCTCCGGGGATTGTTTCAGCTATAACATTATTTGCTACATTTTTCCATTTTGTATGCCTTAGGTTGAAATCACCAAGCAGTAAGATGTTTGGGGATGGAGCTGGAAAGGGTTTTTCCCAAACAGTAATCGTTTTTCAGTAGCTGTTCCTTGAACTGTTGGGAGGTTGTATCTGGTGGCTTGTATACACCACAATGACTAGGTTTTGGTTCTCGATCTTTATTGATAGAACTTCAACTACCTCATTTGTGGTGTTCAGCAACTCCGTGCAGATAAGGGACTCTTTGACATACAGGCCAACCCCCCCCCCCTTGTTGCCTGTTTTTTCTGTCGCATCTAAAAAGGTTGTAAAACCCCTTATCCATATTTCACTGTCAAAGTGATCTTTTGTGTGAGTCTCTGTGAAGGCTGCAAACATTGCATTAGACTCCACTAGAAGTCCACTGATAAAAGGTATTTTGTTGTTGGTGGATGGCTTAAGGCCCTGTATATTAGCAAATATGAACGAGGTTGTATTCTGTGTTTGTTGGGGGATTTTGTTATTGGCATCAGTAGTTGTAATTCTGGAGGGCCATGGGTGGCCACTGGCTGCGCCTCCAGTCCAACAAGGCTCCAAGGTGGTGGACTATTTTTGTTATTTCCTTCCATTTTCTTTTTCGTTTCCTGCCACTAAAAAATCACCTGGAGTTGGGTAGTCGTAGCTACTATTGTTTGTCCTGTGGGGTCTGTGCCTCCTGGTCCCTTTTAGATGGTATGCAGGGCACTCGATGTTGTAACACTGCTTCTGGAGGACCGGGGAGTGGCACATTTTTGGGTGAAAGAAAGTACAGGAAGAAGAGCGACACATTCCTTTAGACAGGAGGTCGCTACATTTTTTGGGATGGTCAAAGTTGCATGTCCCATTTTTTTCCCCTGTTATTCCATGCTTACAGATGCCCCAAGCATAATATTTGCACAAATTCACCTTTGGTTGAGAATTGTTGGGAGGTGTGTTGTCAATTTCTGCAGGTTCTGGGACTGCACTATAATCCTCAGTATCCAAGCCAGGGCCACCCCGTCCTGGATTCCATCTACTTTCCCCAGTAGAGGAAGGAGACTCCTCTCCAACATCTGCCCACAAAACCTCCTTTACCCCCTCTCTCCAACCCTTTCGAGGACGACCCCTACCCCGCCTTCCTTCCCGTATAGATTTATATACTTTCCATGTCATTCTACTTTGATCCATTCTCTCTAAATGACCAAACCACCTCAACAACCCCTCTTCTGCCCTCTGACTAATACTTTTATTAACTCCACACCTTCTCCTAATTTTCAACACTCCGAATTTTCTGCATAATATTTACACCACACATTGCCCTTAAACAGGACATCTCCACTGCCTCCAACCGTCTCCTCGCAGCTGTATTTACCACCCAAGCTTCACACCCATATAAGAGTGTTGGTACTACTATACTTTCATACATTCCCTTCTTTGTCTCCATAGATAACGTTTTTTGATTCCACATATACCTCAACGCACCACTCACCTTTTTCCCTCATCAATTCTATGATTAACCTCATCCTTCATAAATCCATCCGCCGACACGTCAACTCCCAAGTATCTGAAAACATTCACTTCTTCCATACTCCTCCTCCCCAATTTGAT